CTGTTTATTATGAGCGCAAGGAAAAACAGACAGGTTTATTCGGAAAATAGTAAGATTCATTATCTACAGGGGATGGATAGAAACAGGCCAAAGAGGACAGTAAGATGAGAACAAGGCAGAAAGGATATGGGAAGAGGGATCTATTTTGTTCTAATGTTTAAAACATACTATTGTGATCTATAATTTTTTTTTTAAATATCAAGTATAAAGGGATAACGCAAAATGAACATGAACTGAACTTTGTATCAAATGCATAAAAAGTAAACAATGAAAAGGGAAAAAAAATACAAGAACTGAACCAAGTAACTTTTATTATATTTTCTGTGACAACACGCAACTTACCAGTTCACATACTTCGTGTGCGCAGCACAATATTTTTAACTATATGCATATTTTTACACAACAAATCTCAAAAAGGCTTTCATTCTGCATGACTGACACTCTATACCCATTGAACAACTTTTTCTCCTCCCCCAGCCTCTGGCAATCCCCACCGTACTTTCTGCTTCCGAGTTGGACATTAGACACCTCACGTAAGTGGAACCGTGCAGTATTTATCTTTTGGCGACTGGCTTGTTTTCACCTAGTATGATGTCCTCAAAGTAGAGCCATGTTTCTAGCATATGGCAGGATTGCGTTTTTAAGGCTGAAAGAGATTTCGTCGTATGTATATAACACATTTTCTTTACCCATTCAACTGTTGGTCGACATCAAGTTTGCTTCCAAGAGATAATACTGCAGTGAACATACATATGCATTTATCTATTCAGATGCTGTCTCCAGTTCTTTTGAACATACATCTAGAAATGAACTGCTGCTCACCAAAGCAACTTTTAGTTTGTTTATTTAGTCAGAGTCTCACTCGCCCCAGGCTAGAGTTCCATGGCATCAGCCTACCTCACAGTAACCTCAAACTCCTGGACTCAAACAATCCTCTTGCCTTATCCTCCCCAATGGCTGGGAATACAGGTGCACGCCACCATGCTTGGGTGATTTTTTTCTATTTTTAGTAGAGATGGGGTCTTGCTCTTGCTCAGGCTGGTCTCGAACTCCTGACCTAAATTGATCCTCCCGCCTTGGCCTCCCTGAGTGCTAGGATTACAGGCTTGAGCCACCGTGCCTGGTACCCAAGCAACTTTTAAACCTAGCATTTTTGCATTATACCCCAGGCTAAGGAACTTTGAATAAAAATCAAATTCTGGTTAGTAGTGGATTTTTTTAAACAGTGGGATACAACAGTATTCTGAGACTAGGGTTCAGCAAGTACTTTTTGCATTTGACGAAAGAAAGCTACAGGCATGGAAAGTTGGAGGGCTAGAAATAACCTGTTAGTGTTGCAGTGGAATTAAACGTAGTGTCATGAAATCAAGTTTTAATATATAAATGGTTTTAATACAGAAACACAGATATTAATGTGTATACCTAGATATACATATATCTTTTTTTCCTGCCTCTTACACTCAGAGGACCTAGAAGCCAGGACACTCTAGTACCAAGGAACAGCTCCAGCATACGGATTGCGGCTTCTAAATAGTATTCTCCATGAAAAAGAACCACGGCTTTTTAGGCTTTCTGATTCCAAGACTGGGGTAAGAAAACTACAAGGTGCACCGGGAACAAATTGTTGAACCAGAAAGTAATCACATGCCTGTGAAATGAGGATACATTTAAAAAGGTTCAGAAGCCAGCTTGATGGGGATCCTATTCACTAAATCCGGGAAATTTTGCACATCCAACCAATGGTAGCTATTAAAATAACTGTAACCCATAGCTTACATATGACTGCATGCTCCTGTAAGTAAATGGATAAAGGCCAAAGGAAAGCTCTTCCTTAGAGAATTCCAGTTAATAAATGTAAAATGAATTATGGAATTAGAAAACCATTTGGCAACCACCCCAGCAATAGCTACAGACATACCACATGTCACTGCATTTTGCTCTATCAAGCTTTGCCAGATATCACATTTCTTTAATATATATACGTAAATTGAGGGTCTGTGGCAACCCTGTGTTTGAGCAAATCTATTGCAATTCTCTAACAGCATGTGCTCCCTTCATGTGTCTGCCACATTTTGTTAATTCTTGCAGTATTTCAAACTTTTTCATTATTATATTTGTTATGGTGATCTGTGATCAGTGATCTTGGATGTTCCTATTATGATTGTTTTGTGGTACCACAAACTACACCATATAAGATGGCAAATTTAACCCATAAATGCTGTTTTCACTGCTCCACCAACAGGCCGTTCCCTCATCTGTTTCCATCTCCTCGGCTTCCCTTTTCCCTAAGGCACGATATTGAAATTAGGCCAATTAATAACCCCACAATGGTCTCTAAGAGTTCAAGTGAAAGGAAGAGTTGTACATCTCTCACTTTAAATCAAAAGCTAGAAATAATTAAGCCTAGCAAGGCAGACATACTGAAAGCTGAGACAGGTCAAAGGCTGGCCCTCTTGCACCAATTACCCAAGCTATGAAGACAAAGGAAAAGTTGTCGAAGGAAATTAAAAGTCCTACTCCAAGGAACACACAAATAGTTACAAAGCAAAACCGCATTATTGCTGACATGGAGAAAGTTTTAGTGGTCTAGATAGAAGATCAAACCAACCATAAGATTCTCTTAAGCCAAAACCTAACCCAGAGCAAGTCCCTAATTCTATTTAATTCTATGAAGGCTGAGAGAGGTGAGGAAGCTCCAGCATAGTTCGAAGCCAGCGCAGGCTAGTTAATGAGGTTTAAGGAAACGAGTCATCTCTGCAACATAAAAGTGCAAAGTGAAGCAGCAACTCCTGATACAGAAGCTGCAGCAAGTTATCCGGAAGATCTAGATCAAGATAATTGATGGAGGTAGTCACACCGAACAACAGAGACGATACAGCCTTACATTGGAAGAATATGCCATCTGGGTCTTTCATAGCTAGGTAAGAAAAGTCAATGCCTGACATCAAAAGCTTCAGAGGACAGGCTAACTCTCCTGTTAGGGGCCGATGCAACTGGTGACTTTAAATGGAAACTAATGCTCATTTAGCATTCTAAAAATCTTAGGGCCCTAAAGAATTATTAAGAAATCTACTGGCTGGGCACGATGGCTCACGCCTATAATCCTAGCACTCTGGGAGGCTGAGGAGGAGAAGTGCTTGTGGTCAGGAGTTCAAGACCACCCTGAGCAGGAGTGAGACTCCGTCTCTACTAAAAATAGAAAAAATTAGCCGGGTGCAGTGGCACGCCTATAGTCCCAGCCACTCAGGAGGCTGAGGCAGGACTGGCTTGAGCCCAGGACTTTGAGGCTGCAGGGAGCTATGATCACATCCCCGCACTTTAGCGAAGGCGACAGAGGGAGACTCTGTCTCAAAAAAAACAAAACAAACAAAAAAAACAAAACAAAGAAAACAAACCCAAAAAACGAAAGAAATCTACTCCACCTGTGCTCTATAAATGGAACAAAATCTGAATGAAACACATGTATTTACAGCATAGTTTACTGAATATGTCAAGCCCACTATTGAGACCCAGTGCTCAGAACATTCCTTTTGAAACATTAATATTACTGTTCATTGACAATTTGTAAACCAAGAACTCTGATGGAGATGTACAAGATTAATCTTGTTTTCATGGCTGTTAACACAACCTCTACTCTGCAGCCCATGTATGAAGGAGTAATTCTGATTTCCAAAACTTATTATTTAAGCGCTAACATTTCTAAAGCTATAGCTGCCACCGATAGTACTTTCTCTGATGGCTCTGGGCAAAGTAAACTGCAGACCTTCTAGAAATTATTCACCATTCTAGATGCAATTAAAATCCATAATTCTTGGAAGGAGGCAAAAATATCAACATTAAACCAGGAGCAGTGGCACAGGCCTGTAGCCCTAACTACCAGGGAGACGGAGGCAGGAGGATCACTTGAGATGGGAGTTCAAGGCTGCACTGCACTATGACTGAGCAGGTGAAGAGCCGCTACACTACAGCCTGGCCAACATAGCAAGACTGTCTCTAAAAAACTGTTTTCGTTTTTCAAAAAATAACAAAAAAATCAACATTAACAGGATTTTGGAATTAGCTGATTCCAACTCTCACAGATGACTTTGGAGGTTCAAGACTTTAGTGGAGGAAATAACATACAAATGCAGACGTGGTGGAAACAGCAAGAGAACCAGAATTAGACGTGGAATCTGGACATGTGATGACGGACGGAATTACTGTAATTTTGAAAAAAACTAAGAGATGAGGAGTTGCTTCTTAAAGATGAGCAAAGAAAGTAGTTTCTTTAGATGAAATTTACTCCTGAAGATGTGAACACTGTCGAAACGACAACAAAGGATTCGGAATATTACATACACTTAGTTGATAAAGCAGTACCAAGATTTGAGAGGACTGACTCCAATTCTGAAAGAACTTCTACTGTGGGTAAAATGCTAGTAACAGCATCGCGTGCTGCAGAGAAATCCTTTGTGAAAGGCGGAGTTGCTGCAAACTTCACTGCTGTTTTATTTTAACTGTCATACCCACCTCCAACCTTCAGCAACCCCCACCCTGATCAGTCAGCGGCCATCAACATCGAGGCAAGACGCAACACCAGCAAAAAGATTATGGCTCACTGTAGGCTCAAATGATCACTAAAACTTTTTAGCAATAAAACATTTTAAAATTAAGGTACGTATGCTTTTTTTTACACGTAATGCTGTCACACACTTAATAGGCCACAATATAGTGTAAACATAACCAAAAAATTTGTGTGACTCACTTTATTGCAATATTTACTTTATTGCAGTTGTCTGGAAACAAACCCGCAACATCTCTAAGGCATGCCTGTGATCTCACAAATTTAGTGAGACCGAAGGAAACTGGTGAAGCTTTCCCTGTTTCCTACACTATATGGCTCCAGGGTAAGTTCTTAAATGCTGCATTGTGATCAGATTAAAATGCCTTGAGAAAAATGCGTAGTCTTAAAACAAAAAACAAACAAAACCCAAATAGATTCTAATAGCTCTCCCACATTCCCAAAATGCATGGGGGATCTTGAGACTGTGAGTTCTTTGATGTCTTAGAAGTGGCTGGGGACACCTGAAGACTTTCCCACATTCTTTATACCAAGAAAACTGAACAGTGTGAATTCGAATGTGATAATTAAGGTATGAGAAATTCCTAAAGGATTTTCTGCATTCCTTTCATTCAAAGAGTTTTTCTTCAGTGTGTGTTTTTAAGTGTTTAGTTAGTAAATAAAACCTGTTGTAGGCTTTCCCACATTCCGTACATTTATAAGGTTTCTCTCCAGTGTGAATTATAACATGTTTCTGGAGGTGTGAAGAAGCACGGAAGGTTTTGCCACATTCCTTACATATATACGGTTTCTCTCCAGTGTGAATTATAACATGTTTCTGGAGGTGTGAAGAAGCACGGAAGGTTTTGCCACATTCCTTACATATATACGGTTTCTCTCCAGTGTGTGTTCTTATATGTTCAATAAGCTGTGAAGATGTAGCGAAGGCTTTCCCACATTCCTTACATTCATACGGCTTCTCTCCAGTGTGAGTTTTTATATGGTTATGTAGGCTTGAGGAAACAGTAAAGGCTTTCCCACAGTCCTTACATTTATACGGTTTGATTCCAGTGTGAATTCGAACGTGATTCTTAAGGCATGAGGAACTTCTAAAGGATTTTCCACATACCTTACATTCAAAGGGCTTCTCCTCGGTGTGAGTTTTAAAGTGTTCAGTTAGTAAATAAAGCCTATTATAGGCTTTCCCACATTCATTACATTCATAGGGCTTCTCTCCAGTGTGTGTTCGTACATGTTTAGTAAGGCCTGAGCGCCCAGTGAAGGCTCTTCCACATTCCTTACATTCATAGGGTTTCTCTCCAGTATGAATTCTTACATGTTCTACTAGGTGTGAAGAACCCGTGAAACATTTCCCACATTCCTTACATTCGTAGCGTTTCTCCCCCGTGTGTGTTCGCATGTGACTATTAAGGTATGAAGTACATCGGAAGAATCTTCCACATTCCTTACATTCGTAGGGTTTTTGTACAGTATGCATTGGAAGAGACACAGCGTGACTTGTGGAGTATGTGAAAGCTCCCCCACATGGTTCTTGCTCATAGAGTTTTTCTCCATTGTGAGCAATCCCATGTGCCTGAAGGTACGACTGATTAACAAAAGCTTGCTCATATTCACTGCATTCAAAGGATTTGTCTCCCAAGCACATTCCCTGGTGAACATCTGGTGACAGGCTGAAGGCTTTTCTACACTGATTCAACACAGAAAGTTTCTCTCCAGTAGGAGTTTTCTTGTGCAGAGGAGGAGAGTTTTCTCCATTCTCATTACTGTCGTAAGTGTTTCTTGTGTTTTCAGTTACCATGTGTGTCTTCTTAAGGCATGAGTGTTCACTGAAGACATCTCCAGGCTGTTCACGGTCACGGAGTGCCCCTCCGTGGTGGCTTTCTGCCTATTGATGAAGGGATGAATGATGACTAAAGGATTTTTCAGACTTATTAATAGATCCCACCCATCTGTAATCAGACACGTTATGACGATGATTATAATTTTTGCTATTTTCATTACATGCATACAATTGCTACTCTGTGGGTTTCTTATAAGTTGAATGAAGAAACCATTCTGCAAGATTCTTGTGCCATCTCCTCTAACTCTGAAGATTCCTGTATATTTTCAGGAAATTGTTTTTAAAATCTCATTATCTAGCTACATATGTGGTAATTTGTACTTGTAGCAAGTTTTAAGATAGGATTAGGGTATCCCAAGTTCATCATATTTAGAGTATCCCTCTAGAGACATTCTTCCCACATGGGTGAATGTTATTTCTCTCAACTATCTCTCATTTATGCTCATTTTCTACAATGGAATTCCCAATCTTTTCTTGAGTGTGGTAAATAAGGAATCTCCCTTATTAATCTTACCATTTGTAGGAAATTTGATGTTTTTAACCAAAAAATATCCTGCTGAGGTTCTGACACTTTTTGGTTTAAGTTGCCATTCTGAAGTAAAAAAAAAAAAGAATTTACAAAGTAAAACAGTAGGTTAAATAAGTTAAACCAAAACTAGACTAGGAGCTCTTCTCATCTTATTTCCCTCTACTGCAGCACAATCCTGAGCATATTACAAACACGTGATAAAGTGACGTATCAATAAATTCCTTAAGAAAAGGAAGGACCCTTTTGTCTTCCTTACAGTCTATCTGAGCACTCTACAACACCTAAAAATGATAAAGCTCATTGTATTTTTCATATTAAATGCACTAAAAAAATTAAGTAAATATAGATTGGAGCAGTTTGGTCACATCTAATATGTGCAAATCATAAGGGTCAAAATTTATTAATTTTTTAAACAATCTATTCTATGGAATTTAAATGAGATGGTCAACAGAAACAGTATTATCAGGGAAAGAAAGCAGTAACAATCTGGACAATAAGTATACATTAAAATCATAAACTAAAAGAAAAAAAAGAGGTCTTTTGTGAAATCATAGGAAAGTCTGGGATAAATGAAAAATTAAGGAATATGGGAAGGTGAAGATAGCCCAAAACTAAGAAAATTTCCTGTTACACTTCCAAACATATTGAACTTCTCATTGTCCTGGGATGATCTCCACAAACACTTACCTTGGAGATCTCCTATAGGCAATGTGCTCAATTCCTCTTCCTCCAACCAAGAGATTAGACTGGTTTGAACAGCTGGTATTCTGTACAGAGAGAAAGATATATCAATGGAAGTGGCTCATGCAAGACATGACAAAGCTATCCATGAAATAGGAATTACATTTCTAAGAAAAGCAGTTAAATTATTTCAAAGGACTGCAAATTGCATGTATCTCATTTTTCTGTGCCCTAAAGAAACTGGTTATCTCTGACCCCAGACACCCACCATTCAGGCTTAAATACACATTTAAAAACCATTAAGATGTTGATTCAAATATGAAGTAACCTAAGTGCAAAAAGAGATCTTCATTTTCATGAAAAATCTACTACAATCCCTGTGGTTCTCAATTTAGGAGTGATTCAGACTCATCTGGAGGGCTTGTTAAAACACAAACAGCAGCCAAATAGATTTTCTGATTCATTATGTCAAGGGTGGAGTATGCAAATGTACGTTTCTAAAAGAATGACAATGGTGCTATTGATCCTTGGACCACATTTTGAAAACTAGCACACTAGATTAAAAGTGACTATGTCTGTTATTTTCCACTGTTTTCAGATTTCATGTCACTGACCCTGAACACAGTACATATAAGTATGGGTTCCACAGGACACTACAAGGAATGATGGGCTTATCTACTGAGGCCAGAGTTCTTATAGTTCTCCAGCATCACGTCTCTGTACAGGATTTTCTGAGTTTGATCCAATAAAATCCACTCTTCTCGGATGAACTCTACGACCACATTGTCAAAGGTCATCGAGTCCTAAATCATCACACACATGCTAGTTTGAGCGCGGTCCCGTCATCATCAATGTTGATTGACAATGAGGAAGAGGAACCCAGTGGTTATACAGGGCTGTAAGGGCTCCCACTGTCTACCCCAGGGTTCAGTGCTCCTAGGAACTCTCCTCTATCTGCACTCACTGTCGATCTCCACCAGTCACATGGCTTTCATGGCACCTCTAACACATGAAGTTAATCTCGCCACAACTAGACTACGAGCTCTTCTCATTTCCCCCTCTATTGCAGCACAATCCTGAGCATATCACAGACATGTGATAAAGTGATGTATCAATGAATTCCTTAAGAAAAGGAAGGACCCTTTCCTCTTCCTTACAGTGAGTCTGAACACTCTACAAAATGAGAAACATGCACTTGGCACCATGAGGGTCAAATTAACAAGCAATTATTGAAATATTGGGATGATTTTCAAGGTAATACCTAACCAATATACAGCCTTCACTCCATCAGTAAATTCAACGGGGGACTGAAAGTCCTTGAGGCTTCGTTTGCTTTAAGAAGCTCTGGAGACATGTCCATCTAGAAGGAAATGTGTCTACCAGGTGGATAAAAAACGTATCATTTTTAATAAGAATACACTTTTGGCATACCTGATATCAATTTATCAGTCAGCCACCATCCTTGCAGCCTGTATCTTTTCTTCGTGAAGGCAAAAGATTAGGACCCAAGAAAGATGACCTCCTGGAAAAGAAAGAAGGCATGAGAATCCAGAGATGACTATAATTTCCACATTCACGTATTTGGAAGTCACTCCGTTCTAGTATGAAATTCCCAGGTAATCCTGCACAATACAGAACACACACAAAGTGGCAAAGCAGTCTGTCTCACCTAACGTCAGAGACAGGAATGGTGAGCTATACTGCCCATCAGCAAAAGGGCAACAATCTCAATTTAAAGGTAAGGAAACTTAAGTCCTGAGAAATGTGACTCTTTATTTGCCCAAGGTGATGATACTTATCAAGGAGATTAGGCAGCACCTCTTCCCAAAGCACACATTCCCAGTGGCTGACTTACAAAACAGCAATCTCTGGCCCACTCCAGCATCTCTGAAACAAACCAGGAGCATGACTGCTCAGGCCCAGACCATGGGACTCTATTGTATAAGGGGGACCGGAGGCAGAGTCTCTTAAAAAAGAACGACAGAACTTACCATGGGACAAAAATCAATGGCTGCCATCCTACACAGCTGACAGTAAACACTCCTTTCCTTGATGCCAACACCACTTCAGGGCAACTTATGAATATAAATGGATGGCACAATCACCATTTCTCTTGATAGCGGGATATCTACAGTCCTACTTCATATTAATCATCGATCAACAAGCATCAAACACCATACATTAGCATTCTCTCTACAGATGAAGTATGTGATAGCTACTAAAAGCAGGGTACTCCACGAGTACTGTAATTATCAATGACCATTTACTGAAGAACAATATATGTCAGACATCTCAGTAGAAACCTTACATAAGCTCACTTAATTATCACGACAGTCCTTCACAATAGAGATTATTCTTATTTAATAGCTAACTTCCCTCCACCCCTCCACTGCCGATTCTGACAACACTAATAGGTCCAACATCAGCCACTTAGAAAATGGTGAACCAGGACTTGTATGCAGGTTAGTTTGCTCAAAAGTCTGAACTCCTGGCTGGGCATGGTGGCCCCAACTGTATTCTAGCACTCTGGGAGGCCAAGGTGGGAAGATCACTTGAGGTGAGGAGTTCAAGACCAGCCTGAGCAAGACCAAGACCTCATCTCTACAAAAAATAGAAAAATTAGCCAAGCAATGTGGCACACACCTGTAGTCCCAGTTACCCAGGAGACTGAGGCAGGAAGATAACTTGAACCCAGGAGTTCGAGGTTGCAGTAAGCTATGACGACACCACTGTACTCTAGCCCCAGGTGACAAAGAGAGACCCTGTCTCAAAAAATAAAAAAGTTTGAATTCCTAAGCTTGCTGTTATGCCCAAACATGACCAAAAGTAGGTCTAGAGGCCGGGTGCGGTGGCTTATGCCTGTAATCCTATCACTCTGGGAGGCCAAGGCAGGAGGATCCCTTAAGCTCAGAACTTTGAGCCCAGCCTGAGCAAGAGCCGAGACCCTGACTTTACTAAAAATAGAAAAATTAGCCAGGCATTGTGGCACATGTCTGTAGTCCCAGCTGCTCAGGAGGCTGAGGCAGAAGGATTGCTTGAGCCCAGGAGTCTGAGGTTGCTGTGAGCTAAACTGACACCAGGGCACTCTACTCAGGGCAACAGAGTGAGACACTGCCTCAAAAAAAAAAAAAAAAGAAGTTAAACTACATGCTAGACCAAACAGGCCTGACACTTACAGAACATTTTACCCAACTGCTACAGAATACTTTTCACCAGCACATGAAATTCTCCAGAATAGACCATATCTTAGTCCATAAAACAAGTCACAAGAAATTCAAAAGAATAAAAATCACATTAAGCATCTTTGCTGAGCACAATGGAATAAAATCAGAAATCAGAAACCAGAGGAACCTATCTTGGAAACTACATAAACAAATGGAAATTAAACAACATGCTCCTGAACAACCGACCAAGGGGTCAATGAGGAAATTAAGAAGAAAATTTAAAAATTTCTTGAAGAAATGAAAATACAAATGCAACATACCAAAAATAACCTAATGATGCACCTCAAGGAACTAGAAAAGCAAGAACACACCACACCCAAAATTAGTAGAAGAAGAGAAATAATAAAGATCAGAGCAAAAATAAATTAAGACTAGGCCGGGCACACTGGCTCACACCTATGATCCCAGCACCTGTGAAGCTGAGACAGGATCGCTTGAGCTCATGAGTTTCGTATCAGCCAGAGCAATATGGAAAGATCCCATCTGTACAAAAAAAAGAAAAATTAGCCAGGCATGGTGGCATGTACCTGCAGTTCCAGCTACTCAGAAGGCTGAGCCAGGAGGATTACTTGAGCCCAGGAGTTTG